AAGCTAATTATATCCACCAGGCTTAATGTTTATCATCTCCTAACCTTTTCTAGTTTTATTTAAGGGTTCAGTGTCTCCTTATCTACTATATAAAAGTACTAGTACTATTTAACATAACCTTTTTTTCTTGGAATAATTTAAAGGAGATTATCTATGTATACACATACACTATACATATATATATATGTAATTTAAAACACATGTATTTGTTTTACATACATAAAACATTACATACATGTAATTTAAAAATATTAATATCATTAAGGTTTTTAAAAAATAAGTTTTCTAATTTTTTAGCAGCAATAATACAGTATTTTTCATTATTTATAGGTTAATAAAATATTTTTTAGTTTATTTGTTGTTTATCATGTTTAACCCTCCCAATAACCCTACCAAGTTTTTAATATTTTATTTACAAAGAGATATGAATTTTCAGAGATATGAAGTGATTTCCCAAAAGTTGTATAGTGACTGAAAGCCAAACTGCTAATGGGACCCAGGTCTTCTACATCTGTTTTCTCTAGAAGAATTGTTTATTTATGGTGAAGATTATATAATTTCATTTCCTAGAATAGTCCATTTCAGTGTCTAAAGTGCCCACTCTTTTGTATCAGAGTATCTAGGAAACCAAATTAGTACAAAAAAGTAAACATTATTGTTATACTTTTAAATAGTGTGTTTAGACTCAGACTTCTCTTAATCATTCTTTTCATTTAACATTAGTTCTTGGACCTCAGGTCTTTCTTCCTGAATTAAATCTTATGGAAGTTCTTTCAGTAAGGATCTGTAGTAACCACTTATTATTTAGTCTGTCTGAAAATGTTTTTATTTTGTTCTCATTCCTGGAAGATAGTTTGTTTAGATATAGAATGTTGTTTTAGCATGGTGTTATTTTTATTTATTTATTTATTTTTGACACATGAAGGTACTTTTTTCTGGCTTTATTGTTTTTGTTGAGAAGTCAGCTGTTCAGCTAATTATTAATTATTTTTAGACAACTGGTTTTTTCCCTTGGGATATGTGTAGGATATTCTCTTTATCTTAGGTGTTCTGTAAATTCACTGTAATATGTTCATAATGTATTCTTCTCACTTATCTTACTTGGTATTTCTAGAATTGAGTATTAGTATCTCATCAGTCCTAGACAGTTTTTAGCCATTGAATTACTTATCCCAAGCCTCTCCTTCTAGAACTCTGATTAGACATATGTTGAGTCTTAATTCTGTCCTGTCTTTCACATTTTCAATCTCTTGTTTCTTTAAAGTGCAGTATGTACTTAAAAAAAAAAAATCCACCATCCAGTTCAATACTTGTTTTTCCAGCTCTATCTTATCTGTTACTAAACCTTTCCATTTAAGACATTATGTTTTACATTTCTAGAAATGTTGTCTAGTTCATTTTCAAATCTGGCCAATTTTGATTCTCCTCTTCTTTAGTTATATTTGATATCCTCTTTTTGTTCTTCCATCTTATTGATTGTGTATATATATATAAACATATATATACATATACATTTATATACATATATATATTATATTCTGTAGCTGGTCATCATATGACATGTGAAGTTTTAATAGGTTTTATTCTTTTTATTTCTATGAATTCTTTCTCATGACTTGTTTTCTTTCATGTTCAGTGATTTCTGATTTTAAATCTGTGTTTCTTAGAGCTTGATCCGTTGGAATTCTCAGAGGCCCGAGTTTAAAGTGTATTTTTTTTTTCACGAAGATTTAGATCTGCTTTTACTAAGCATTTATGTTTGCCTGGTACTATACAAACCCAGGATCACTTCCTTTTACATTTTTGGCTCAGGATCGGAGGGTTGGAGGAGCACAGAGGTTGTGTAATTATGGCCCCAAGCCCATGTGAGAGCAGAACTGTGGTTAGAAATTTTGTGGGGAGTTGTTGTTTTTGCTACTCTGCTCCACTTAAAACTAAGTGGAGTAGAGCTAAGAACTAGAACTAAGATCTAGGTAGACATTTTTAATTTCTCCTTCTGTGCAACACATTTAATTTTTATTTAATTAGTTTTTTTTTTTATTTTTTAATGTTATTATTTTTTACTGAAAATGTTCTTTGGGAGTTTTAGATTTTTTTTTTAAAGATTATATTTACTTATTTTACACACAGAGAGAGATCACAGGTAGGCAGAGAGGCAGGTAGAGAGAGAGGGGGAAGCAGGCTCCCCGCTGAGCAAGGAGCCCGATGTGGGGCTTGATCTCAGGACCCTGAGATCATGACCTGAGCTGAAGGCAGAGGCTTCACCCACTGAACCACCCAGGTGCCCTAGATTTTTTTTTTTTTGAAGTAATCTCAGTGTCCATCATGGGGCTAGAACTCATGACTCTAAGATCAAGAGTTGCATGCTGTACCTGCTGAGCCAGCCAGGTGCCCCTAGGAGTTTTAGATTTTTGCAGGGGTCCTTGATCTATCTTCTCAGCTTTCTTGTGCTTCTTTGTCTCCTTCCCTCTTCCCACTTTCTCCTTGAGTAGCTGGTTAAAGCCCAAGCATTACTCTGCTGGGATTATCAGATTCCCTGGAATGGTTTCTTATTCCACTACAACCCTGGGTTCATAGTTTCTGTCCCTCCTTCCCTCCCCTAGGCTCTTAGGAATTCTATTATTTTTCCTTTTCATCCCTGTATTTAAAACATTGTTTAGTTTTTCGTAATATTTAAGGTATGCTATCCCAGGAAGAGTTTTTCTAACATATAGTCCACAATTTTTTAAGAACGGAAGGAAATCAAATTAGTAATCAGAAAGTTGGTTGAAAAACACACTGACAGTAAAAAGAATTAGATTATTTGAAGGGATATTTTTTAGAAATTAAAATAATAAAGCATTTGTGCCCCATATTGAGATTATTTTTTTAAGGAGTTAAATAAGTTTCCATAGTTTATTTTCCCTTCTGCACAGGGCTATATATTTATAAATTATTTTTATTTAATTTTTTTAAAGATTTATCCATCCATTCTAGTGAGGGGGAAGTGGCAGAGGGAGAGAGAATCTTAAGCAGACTCTCCAAGGAGCATGGAGTCCAATACAGGGCTTGATATCATAACCCTGAGATCACCACCTGAGCTGAAACCAAGAGTCCAGTGCTCTACTGATTCTGCCACTCAGGTGTCCCTTATTTCCATTTTCATTTGTGTCTCTACATATTATGACAGTTAAATTATAAGACAAATACATTTCCGTCATGCTGTCTTTGAAGGATAAATTTAGATCACATTGATCCTCAGTCTCCTTAATAATGCATTTATAAAACATTTTAGATTGGGTTAATTATACAATAGGATTTTATTGATTAACAAAGTTTTTACACTAAATGTTATTTTATGTTATTTTTATCTTGCATTGAGATTAGAATCCCACAGTAGAGACCAGTTTTAGTACAAGGGGACAGAATTGCTATAGTGACAATATTTAACACACACATGCACACATACTGAGGACCTAGAAATTTATTAAATTCTTGAGAGAAAAAGAAAAAAAGTGAGAGAAAAACCTAGTGTTTGTATAGCTCAGAAAGCTGCTTCTTTGAAATTTTCCTTGATCTTTTCAAGGTATGAACCAATCCCTTCCTGCATTTCTCACGATTCTTCTTTTCCATGCTGTTTTCCTCCCCGTTTACCTTTTGCCCTCAAAACAATTTTTTTTAAAGATTTTATTTATTTACTTGACAGAGATCACAAGTAGGCAGAGAGGCAGAGAGAGAGGGGGGGGAAGCAGGCTCCCTTCCAAGCAGAGAGCCCGATGCGGGGCTCGATCCCAGGACCCCCAGACCATGACCTGAGCCTAAGGCAGAGGCTTTAACCCACTGAGCCACCCAGGTGCCCCAACAATTCTTAAATATGTACATTTTCAAGGTACTTTAGAAGACATTAGGGATACAATGATGAAAAAAAAAGAGATGTGGTCCACATTTACACTAAACTTACAGTTTGTTAAGAGAAATAGACCATCAGATGACATAATGTAATATAAGTGTTATGATGAGGAAAAAATAGATTGATGTGGAATATACAGGAACAGCACTAGACCTAGGGGCTAGCAATATCTTCTTATACGAAATTATATTCAAGCTGAGATTTGACATATAGGTCAATGGTTGTCAAAGTGTACTAGAACCTCAGTATCACCTGGGAATTTGTTAGGAATGGAAAGTCTTGGGCCTATCCCAGGCTGCTGAATCAGAAGCTGGAAATAAGGTCCAGAAATCTGGCTTTTGACAAGCTCTCTAAGGAATTCCTATTCATACTGAAGATTGAGAACTAGTGAATGGGTGATAGTGAGATAGAGGGCTAGGGTTGGATCCCATTAGGCAGAGGGTTGGATCCCACCAGGCAGAGGGACTTCTGAGATCTCTAGGGACTGAGACTAATGTGAAAAAGTTCGGTATGCCTGAAGCACAAGGTATAAGATCCTGAGGAGAATCAGGGTGGACAGGAGAAAGTGTGGAGAGGAGAGGAGGGAAAAGATCATCTGGGTTTTGTAAACCATATTAAATTGTTTAGATTTCCTTTATCATAAATATTACTTTGTACATCTGTTTCCTCAAATAGAATGTGAATATACAAGGGTTGGCATCATATTTCTATACCTCAGAACACCCGTCAACTATTGTTGGGATATAATTGGTGTCTAATAAATGAATGCAATGTATGAATTGGGTGGAGTCAATGGATACTCACAAAACCCTCATGAGATAGTCATTACTGCCTATTTTTACACTTGAGAACAACCACGGCTAAGAGAAGGTGAGTCGCTTACCAATGTAACAAGGTCAAATGGCTATTCAGAAGCAGAGGTGTTTTACAAATCCAAGCATTTGGATTTTGTTCTTAGAATCTCTTCTTTATTCTGTAGTACCTTTCTGTCAGGGAGTGCTGAGATTACAGAGAATATGTATGGATAAATAAGGTCATAATTTTTTTTTTTTTAACTTATAAGCACTCCTAAAGCAACTGTGCTTCTTTCTCTTTTTTCTTTTTTTTCCAGACAGAAAAGGGGAGTGCACTTCATGAAGCAGCTTTATTCGGAAAGGTGGATGTTGTGAGAGTTCTGTTAGAAACAGGTAACTATCGTGATTCTCCATGGAGATTATTCTTCCAAGTAGAATTTCTATTTTAGGAGTAGACAAAGGGAAATGGCACATTTTTTTTTCATAATCACCCTTACTTTTTACCTTTACTTCTCATTGCAAATGTGTATTCATACCATGTAGAATGAACCTCAGTGTTTAGATAAAATTGATATAAATATGCCCCTTCCTTTACTCCATAGATGTGTCAGTAAAAAGCTCTTAGAAATTATAGTTATATATATTTAAATCACATTGAAATATATTAGAGAATCTATCAGGAGGAAAAGGAATTCTCTGCCTTGTACAAGAGGGGGGAACTGATCCTTATGAAGTTAAAACAATTGCTTGGTTTATGAAAGAACATAACATTACCCTGGTTTATTATATTGGGAACTATGGTAAACAGAAATTAGAGTTCTGTATCCTTAAGGTAAATTTACCTTGTTATTTCATCAACTGAGTGGCTATTGTTTCTAAGCAGCAGTGATTTAAAGGGAATCTTTAAGAGGGAATGGTTTGAAGGAACAACATAGTAGGCTTGTTTTCATATGTATATTCTGAATGAAATAAAATAAAATTGAAACTGAGATTGGATTTTTGTTAGGATCAAAAATCATGGGTATAAATTCATACTTGGAAATAATTGATGTGAATCTTTTATGTTATGGACTACAGTTATTGTATTTATTTTCCACTGTAAAAAAAAAAACATTGGCAGACTATGGCATTTTGATTATAGTTATACAAAGTTAAAATTTCATGTACATGTAATTTTGACATGTAACAGTGATGTAATTAGCCTTATAGGCAACAAATCACATATGTGCTGATAACACATTTCTATACAAATTTAAGCAAATACTTAATTATCTTGGTACAGTGAACTAACATTTGGGGCCAGAATCTGAAAATGGCTTTGTTTGCAGGTAGATGTTTGGAAAGTTTATAAACCTTTTTGGGGTAGTGAAAGCTATTTGCTACATTGAAATAAGTTCTTTAGTACAATAAGTATTTTTAGAATTAAAATAATTCCAATGATGTTTTAGTTTACAAACGTCAAGAAGTGTGATCATCAGGTAGATGATTGAGTATGGTTTATGTTAAACATAATCTTGCATAAGTAAATAAGAGATATTTGACCTTGTAGCTGGACAAATAGTATTTGGACAGTACAAAATGTTATGCCCGAGTTTTCACGTCTAAGAGACCACCAAGGAGCCAACATCGATGTAATCACACGAGGGTTTATTCAGCAAGCTTAAGCTTGGGCCCAAGTATACCCGACACAGCGGAGTAGGGACTTGGACCCCGAACCAGATTACAGTCAGAGTTTTTAAAGGCGGAGTAGGGGTGGACTCGGCGGTGGGTGAGGACAAAGTGGGTGTTCAGAAGGGCTATCAGGGTAAAGAAGACTGTCAAGATATTGGAGGCCTGGTTATTATCAGGCCAAGGCCATTTTTCCCTCTAATGAGGCACTAACATGAAGACAGTTGGGTTTCCTGGTGGAATGACACATTCCTCCTATCAAGTGTCCTTGTTAGTGAGATTTAGCACTGGGACATTTGTAAACCGAGGGAGACTCCTGTCTTGGAGGATTGTGATCTCTGCAAGTTAACTATTTGTTCACACATACTACCGAGGGGAGGGGAGCGGGTGGAGAGGGGGTGCAAGGTGCCAGCTTTTGCTTTGTCAAGATGGCTGTACTTATGTCAGGGCTAGACTCGAGGTGGGTACAGCCTTGTTTTTCTTGGCCTCCACACAAAATAATCATCCTTTTTCAAATTTTGTGAGTACTCCAGTGTTTTAAGAGTGATACATTATTATTTAAAAAATTTTACCATATTTTACAAAATATATATATCACAGAACCATTATTATACTTTAGGAATTGACATTCTAAATCAATAAAATTTTTCAGCTTGATAGCATATCATTTAACTAGTTATAATCCAAAGTAGCCTTAATTATAAAAAGCAATCTTAATGATTGGGTCAGTGCCCTTGAAACCTTAATCCATTATCAAGAATGTTCATAATCTTTGGTAGCAGTATGCCCCCACCTTCTTTCTTAATAAAATTGCGTGTGTGTGCGCGCGTGCGTGTGTGTATGTGTTTGTGTTTAGGATTTAATTTTTTTAAAAAATCATTTCGGTGCTTGGTCTGTTTATGTTTGATATTAGAGTGTTACATATTGCCACTATCTTCTGATGACACTTCAGTTGTGTGCATTTAGTTCGTTTTGCTTTTTCTTTCAGGAATTGATGCCAACATAAGGGATAGCTTAGGTCGAACTGTCTTAGACATTCTGAAAGAACATCCATCTCAGAAATCTCTCCAGATTGCAACACTCTTACAAGGTAAACAATAGTGAGTGATGGATGACTTTATCTTAAAGTTAAGATTAAAATAAATCTACCATTGTTCTTTCTTGAGTTTTCAGTTAATGTTTGCTTTTGAATGAACTTATTATTTATAGTTTTTTCTGGTAGACTTAAACTAAAAAATAATAATTTTTAATATTTAGTTTCTGTTTTCAACAGAAAATGACTATTTTCATTAGATATTAAAAGATCTTTTAAATCTATATAGTAAATATGTAGTTATCAACTTAAAAGTAATAAGGCTATAAAGTAATGATGATCTTATATATGAATAATGCTTTAAGAGTTTTCAGGGATTTTCCATTATTTTATCTGATTTCTATAACTTTGTGAGGGAGGTAAATCTGATCTCATTATTCTCCTTTTTGCACATGAGGGAAACTGAAGCTCTGAGAGGCTGACTTGCTCAAACTCATATATCCTATTTTAGGTGGTAGACCTGGAATATAAATGCCGGGTTAACACAACAACAACAACAACAACAACAACAACAAATTGTACTTTGGTAATACAGATTATTTTTTCCTTAATCCAGCAGTACAAGATAATTCAGTTTTGCAAGCTTTTGTTTTTTGGTAAAGGTCACTTAAGTACATGTGTAATTAGGTGCAGGCATTAGGTCTACTGAAGGTTTGGGAACCAAACCTAATTTTTTATTTGCAGGATTATATACTTCCCTGTTTGATCTAAAAAATTTAATGAAAATTTAGATTTAAATACTTCACCTTTTTGCTTCATGATTAGGCCTGGCATGTAGTATGTTCCCTTAAAAATCCAGACATTCTCCTTTCCAGGTAGCTTCTACACTGGTCAGCAGGGATTAGCCCCTGATTATTGCAGATGGGTGGCGAGTGTAATAGGGAAAGGAGGTGGGATGGTTTCCTTGGATATTAGTTGGGAAGCTGAAGAACAGTTTTGTCCTGCAGGAGATAAATGAATTAAAACCAAGTTGGTCAAGTGATGCATAGATAAGGGGAGTCAACAAAAGCCAAAGAGGGTTTGTAAAAAGAATAGATGAGCTACAGAAGTCATTCATGCTCTGTTCTCTCTTTATTTTCAAAAGTTTCAAGGAATGGAAGTTCAGTCCCCTACAATTTTCTTGTTAAATAAGTTAATTGCAGTTGAGTGCATATAAAGATAAATCAGAGGGTACAAGAGTGGCTCTTTGTATTCAGATTAAAAATCAAGTTGAGAGGCAACTGGGTCTCTCTGATCTCTGATCCCAGGGTTCTGGGACTGAGCTCCACATTGGGTTCCTTGTGCAGGAAGCTTGCTTCTCCCTCTCCCACTCCCCCTGCTTGTGTTCCCTCTCTCCCTGTCTCTTTCTCTGTCAAATAAATAAATACAATCTTAAAAAAATAGCAAGTTGAATGAAAACTAAAAAAGAAAAAAAAGTGGTATACAACATTTTTGTCTTCTCCCTATAGGCACTTTATATTTTATATTGAACTTTTGTTTCTAACTGAACTTTAAAAAAACAGAGGCTTGTGAATAATATTTCTTTTGGGAAAAGCAAAATAAATGTCATCCACTAAATAGAGGACATGACGTAATTGCAGACATTTACTGTATTGTTTTACCTGAGATGAAATTGTTGTTATATAGGAGTTAAATATCTGTGTTCTTTTATTTCACCAAGGTTCATTGTAGGTATGTCAACTTGTGATAGGGTATATGGGACATCTTTGAATTTTTAAAATTGTTGGCAGATTTTAGAATATGAACATGTTATCTATATTCTTTTCATTCCTGGGTCATAAATCAGTGGTACATTTTAAGTTTTATGAAAAGTTATCTCACTAAAACCAGTTTAGAAGTAGATAAAATTACTATTTGTGTCCTGGAGGAAGAATTCACTTTACATAATGACTATACTGGGTCAAAAATTTTAAGGATAGACTTCCATAGGTTGCTTTCTTTGCTTAGTAGAATTGCCCTTAGGTAGAAACTGGTTGATATGAAGACACAGTTGGTTGGCATGAAAGCACAGACTTTCTAACTAGACGTTAAGAAAAAGATACCTTCTGAATAAGGACATATAAGTAAAAGGTCCCTATATTAGCTGTATGAATATGGTCAACTTAAAATTCTTCTCCTTGAGTTTTCATCTCTAAAGCTGAGATTGTAATGGTGCCTGTGTCATACTTTTGTGAAGGTCAAGTGAGTTAACTTATTTTAAATACTTAGAACACTGCTGGGTGCATAGTAAGCCATATATATAAGTTTTAGCTGCTATTGCTGTTGTTATGTCTTCATCAAAATTGGAAAAATGCGAGACAGGCTGAGTGTGGAACATTACTTCAAGAATGAGAATGAACATTATTTCTCTGCAGAAATAAAGTTTAATATGCAATTATGCTTATATTATAAGAGTAAACACTGTTATGACATAAATTTCATTCATTTATATTACCTGACTGGTTGTTGTGGCTATCTGAATTTGATATCCCTGTTTAGGTATCAAGTCTATTCAAAGCATCTTTCAGAGGGTTTTAAATCTTCAGGTAGAATATATTTAGGAAACAAAGGATGTTACTATGTTTTTAACAGGTGAATTTATTTTTAAGGACAATGTGACCAGTTTGGTTTTCACAAAAAGGATTTGTGAATCTCTTCCTAAGTATCTTTTGTGTTTTAATTTAAAATATTTAAATTAATAGTTCATCATGAAGTTCTTTCAGTTTGTTTGGTTTTTGAAGTTCTTTTAAAAGCTTAAGATATATTTAGGATATGAGGAAATAAATGAAAAACTGATCATCAGAAATAAAACATAAAGTTATTGATTTTAAAGTAAATGAATTTGACTATGTAATTTCAAAAACTTGTATACACAGAATATTTGGAAGGTGTGGGAAGATCACCAGCCCTTGAAGAGCATGTACAAGAAGATACAACACAAGAAATACATATTTCATCTCCTATTGAGTCTCCTTCCCAAAAGACTAAGAGTGAGTAGCTAATTATAAAGCCCTTGAAATAATACTAGATGTTTATGTATAAATCTGTCCTATATGTACAAAAAGGCTAACACTTGTAAAAGTTTCAGGTCTAATAAGTTGTATCTTAGACTCTATATTTTACCCATTTATTCAGCCAGCATTTTTAAAATTTTTTTTTTTTTTTTTTTAAGGAGAGGGAGATGGTAGGGGCAAGGAGAGAAACTTTTAAGCAGGCTCCATCAACAAAGAGCCCATGATGGGGGTTTGACAGTTATCATAAGGCTCGGTCTCACAACCCTATCAACCATGATCTCAACCAAAACCAAGATTCAGCCACTTAACCAACTAAGCCGCCCAGGTGCCATTCAGTCAGGTGCCGTTCAGTCAGCATTTATTGAACTCTTCTATATGTCAGACCCTACTCTTGGACCTGACACAGTAGTGAGCAAAATTAGCAATCCCTGCTGTCATGAAGTTTACACGGAGTGGATATTTCACAGTAGATATTTTTCCTAAAATTAATTAAATATTTGAGAGTGTGAGAGCATGTGTGAGTGAGGGAAGGGGCAGAGGGAGAGAAAGAATCTGTACAGAGTGCAGAGCCCAACACAGGGGCTTGCTGCTTATCATAGGACTCCATCCCAGGACCCTGAGATCATGACCTGAGCCGAAATCAAGAGTCAGATGACTGAGACATCCAGGTGCCCCTTTCTAAAATATATTTTTAATGCAGAATAAAAATATTGATATCTGGGTTATAACTACTGGAGTTTTAGTTTTTCCCCAGAAGAAATTATAGGTATAAGGTATCTTTCTGAAAATGATTTTAAAAAATGCATATTTGCATGCAGCCTAAAAATATTCATATTTTGAGAGATGATGCATAGTATTTGTCCATTCCTTCTGTGTTTTTCCTTCATGTCACATAGCACAATTCTAACTTATTACTTATATCATTATTTATCTAAATATGTTCTATCATTTTTTTTTTTTATTGAACCTAGGAAGGAGACTTCTGGTATCATTTAAAATTTGTTAATGAGTTGAGTGAATTCTGTCCATGAACTATATATAATGCCAGTGAAAGATTGTTGAAGTTTAAATGTTACAGTGGATGAAGCCTTAGGAATTGTAATTCCAGATGCTTTTATGTACTATACATATATAAACCTTTAATACTTAACTTCTATTTTGAATAAGAGCAATAATAGGCAAAATTGGGATTTATCCTTATCTTTTAATATTTTTATACTTATTATAGTTTACTACTAAGAATGTTTTCTGACTTACTAAATCTTGTTTGACAGATTATGAGTTCTATCATCATACTAGTCATATTTTTATTAGTTAATAGGAAGTTTTAGCAAAAGCCTTTCTTGAAACTTTGAAAAAAATTACTGTCTTTTTACAGGTGAAACTGTGACTGGAGAATTATCAAAACTCTTGGATGAAATAAAACTCTGTCAAGAAAAGGATTATTCTTTTGAAGATTTGTGCCACACAATATCAGACCACTACTTAGATAATTTGAGCAAGATTTCAGAGGAAGAACTTGGGAAAAATGGAAGCCAGAGTGTAGTAAGTAAGGGGGCAAGGAAGACAGTGCTTCTGTCTTTGCCGATTCAATGTGTATCTGAGAGGCATGGGATTTGTGCATTATCCTATCTTCAGATTCTTTCAGTGTCAAATGTCAGATTCCCTGTTGCTCCTTTTTTGGATGTTCATTGGTATTTTACTCTAACTGCATGTGTAGGGGAAGGAATGCTTTGATAAATCACTTATAGTTTGTGATGATCATGCTACCGTTCACTTGCCTAAGAAATAATTTCTTTGATTATGTTCTTTTAGTTTTACTGGGCATGATGATCTTGGTTTCCAAAGAAAAAAAAAATCTTCCTTTTGTCTTTGTTTCCCATTTTCTCTATGAACTGAGTCTATCTCATCTTGAAGAAAGATGGAGCTGGGCTATGTGTGTTTGTTCCCTAGTCAATTTGTATTTATGATAGGGGAGAGACATTGTAGAAAGTTTGACCTCCATATTTTTTACTCTTATGCAAATCCCCTTATGCAGCTTCTAAGCTCAGACTCTAAATCATGAGTTAGAGATTCTTGCTCATTTAGACTTTTATATTAACACAATAGCAAAAAAACACAAAAGCAAAAACAAAAAAACCAAACTGTAGAGAATCAATCAATCTAAAATTAGGATTTGTATATCTCTTTTGTGTTACATAGAGGTAGGATTTATACTGGTATTAAAGGAAATGCAGTATTATGAAATTTTCACTCACTTTTAGAACTTAATTTGTTATAGAAACATTATGCTTTCTTCAAAAGCTAGTAAGAGTGGATTGTGTTAGGTATGTCATATTATTTATGAAAACTAAAAAAATTGCCAAGTATAGTGACTATTATGAAAATATTTCATTTAGTTCTTTAATGTGTAACTTGTTTCCTAGGATAGTGCTTGCTAGTTAAGCTCATGGCTAGTCTAGCTCCATGGCTAGTCTTACTCCCTAGGATGTCTTTGTTCTTGTCTTTTTTTCCCCCCCAGTGGTATCTCTTTTAAAGCATCATATTATTGGCTCCAATAAAAGCTCTTTGTGAATAATTATGATTAATTATATACACACACATATTATAAATACATATAAGTTTTAACCAAATGAAAATTTTATATTAATGAAATATTTACTGTAATGACTTTAACATCAGGACAGAATTTCCTGTTTAAAAATCTTAAACAGTTTTATGTCATCTCCAAATTACAAACCAATTACATTTCAACATTTCCTTGAAGATTTGTTACAAATTAAAACATATTTATTCTAAATAAATAATACATTGTATTCAGGTTTTTAGGTCTATCCCTAAAGATTTCTCAAAACTGACTGCTTCTGGCCCTCTACTTCTAAGCCCACAGATTTTCTGAAAGCCTTAATTTTCTAGACCATTGGTTTCTAAACTTTTTTTTGTTGTTGTTGTGTGTAGCATAGTAAACAGATTTTAAGCAAACATCCCAAGTGCATGTGTTTATAAATTACATGCATCTTCTGTTCTAAGAATGTATGATGTAAATTAGGTATATACTACAAGAGACATTCAAATAAGAAGGATAAAGAGTAAGTGTAAATAGAAACTCTATCTTTTTTTCTTTTATTCAGTGGGTATCTTGTGCACCTTGGGGTCTGCACACTTTACTTAGAGACTATATGTTTACTCAAGCTTATAGATTTCAGATAGTGATAGCAGGGGTATTTGATATTATGAGGGTGATATAATTAGGGGGAATGATGGCCAAATGTTTGTTTTTTTATAAGTCAAAGACTGTATTATGATAATAGCAAGAGAAATTAATACTCATAAATTGAAGTGAATTTCTTAAAATTTATGCTTATCCTTTCAGTTATCAGTCTTTGTTCCTGTGACAAACCTTACATTGTATTCCTTGAAAATATTGTCATATTAAATAATAAAGGTTACATGAGACAGAAAAGCAGAGGGTACATGTGAGTAAGGGCAAGTACTTCAGTTCTTCTGGAATAATAGAGTTTATAAAGTGGAAAGATGGGAAATAAAATTAGAAGGATAGGTTGAGGTCAGGCCATGGATGATTTTGAATGTCAGAATAAGAGTTTTAGTTTTATTTTTTAGAAAATGAGAAAAATCTAAAGGATTTTGAGCAGATAAAAAGACATCATTGGAAGCGCCCTTTCAGAAGATTAATCTAGTAGAAACTTGTTATTGAATATTTAAAAAGTAATCTGGTTACTTTGGCCCTCCTCTATAGCCTGTGTTTGATTTGGGTTCTTTTGCTTTTGTTGAATATTTCTGTTTATTAAAAATGTTCCTTCAGAGTTTTGTTATGAATTGTACTCAAAGTATGCAAAACTTTAATCAAGTACTTATAGATCAGCTTATATAGATATTTGTTACAGGATTTATAACAGCAGTAATGAAACATGGTTCCTGACTTGAAGGAGTTCAAAATTCTTATTAGAAGAAGGCTTTAGACACAGTATACAAACAAGACTAAAATATGAAACAACAGATATATAAGAGCTGAAATTTATTAGTTGCTTGCTATTCTAATGCTTTATATGATTTAAGCCACTTAATCTTCACAAAAATCCAAAGAGTGGGTTTATAGACTTGGGAAATGACTCAGCTGACAAGTGGCAGATCTAGGATTCAAACTCAGAGCCACTGTCTTGAATTCCTAGCTACATTTCTCATAATAAATTATCCGGTGGCCAAAGGAATTTCTTAAAAAGAGAGAGATTAGTGAAGACTTACTGGTATTCATTGAAGGCTTCATGGAGGTAGGGAGAGACTAAACTGGGCCCTGGGGGGAGAAGGAGATGTGTCTTGTGTTTGTTTTAGAATGAATGAATGAATGAATGAGTGAGTGAGTAAATGGGAGAGGATTCCAGCTTGCAGAAACAGTATGTGCAAAAGCACAGAGGTGAGACATAGCATGTAATTTGAGAATAATTGTTTATCATGAGGGTTGATTTTGGAAAGTAGTGGGGAACAAATTTAGGTAAGTAATGAGAATACCTAACACTTACAGAACACTTTGTTTCTTAACTGATTTAATCTTCACAATAACCCTAAGATAGATGGTATTATTCCTCCGATTTTACAGATGTCAAAATGGAGGCACAGAAAACTTTTATGATTTTCCCACATTTAAATGGTAATTGCCAGAGCCAGGATCTGTACACTGGCAGTCTGGCTGGGGCTGGTACCATATCCATTACCACTTAGTTATTTTGTTAAGCGAAGATAATTAGAATTGGGAAGCTAGTCAGGAGTTTAATATTGATGGTGAGTAGAATAAACTCTTGAGTAGGGGAGTTCTGTCTTGAAGGTGACGTTTGGGGAGGCTAAAAATGGTAACTGTAGTCAAATGTTCTGGAAGAGATTTAATGATTCTCAGCAACGGAAATACGTTAGACATATTTGGACAGGCTTCAAAAAATACTGATACCTTCAGGTTCCACGTCATGACCAACTAGAGCAACTAAATCAGAATTGTTTTGGGTGGCCCTGAGCCTCATTCTTTTGAATGAATTGAAGTTAGAGTGTCTAAAAAACCTCTTGAGTTAGAGACGTTTTCAGTTTATCACCAAAGAAAATTCCCCACATAGTCCTAAATTAAAATTATTTCTATATTACATTGAAATATTAAATATGGAATAATAATTTTGCTTATTCACATTATTGGCTGAAGTATAGGCGTTTGGGTTCAGTTAAAATTTAATTTTAGGTGATATGAAATATCCAACATGTTCATTATAATATGACAGGTAATTTCAAAAGTAATTTAGAAGAAATCAAAATATATAGAAAATACATTTTGTAGCATTTATATTATTAATAAATGTGTCTTCCATATTAATGATGTGCCTTGAATTTTGGGAGTATTTTAACTATTCTTAGTTCCGTTTAGCTTTCATTGCCTTTTTTCTTCCAATAGAGGGCACTCTAGTTCAGTAATTTAAAATACAAAATCAACTATCTTATGTAAGAACTTTTACTTTTGAATTAGAGGTTTCTGGTTTTACTAAAATATTAGCCTCAGGTAGTAGTTTGAACAATGTTACTAATATAAGTGAATTAAAAATTAAATTCTTATTATGATTGAATGTATTCGATTGGAGGTTTTACATTTAATGTGAAGGCTAGCTCCAGTTAAAATTACATTTTCCCTTGCATAAATTTTAATTCAGAAGTTAGTCTGTTTTAAGTGTTTTTATAATATGCATATGGAGCCATTTTCTAAGTTGAATTAGGACCTTATATAATCTAGAATGTAAATTTTGAAGAAATATAAATATCTCTACATTCTTTAGCAACCCATGAAATTTAGAATTTTGAAAGAATATAAAATATCTGAAAAAATGTGCTATTCTCTTCATTTATTTTCCCAGGTCATATATTCAGCTTCTTCCTCCTTGTGTATAAACAATGTGCAAAACTCTGAAATGTGAATACATATACCATAGAGAAATTTGATTATAACATAAAGATCATTAGAGTAGACTTCAGAATCTAGGTTTCAGAAAAGCTTTTTTTGAGATTTGAAATAGAAAAAAACATTATTGCCTCATTAGCTTATATCTCTAAGAAATAAATAGGAAGCTTCAGGTATGAAATGCATTATATGTTTTTAATCCTAAGGGAAACCTGGATATAAATAACATGTAAGATTTATTGTTTGAAAGGGGTTGTGTTGTCAGGTTTTGTGCAATTTTAAATCAACCAGTGTACCTCTTTTCTGTTATTTTACTTTCTTTTCCAGTGTAAAATCTTTAATTACATGTAGACCTTCTGAAGTATGAGATTTTTTTACTGTAGTATATCAAGACTTTAAGATTCAACACCTAAGTTTTTGTACCAAGCTTCTGTAACCTGCTTGAGAACACTGTTGGGGGAGTGTGTTGGGGGTCTCCATAGGAAAATACACTTAATTTGGTGCTAGCATTCATCAGTCTTAAAGGTCAGTAGAAACAGATTAGGTTGCCTAGAATATAAATGGTGTTTATAAAGCAAAAATATAATTTCTAGATCTT